TTTTATTAGTCAAATGGCAAAGAAAGGATAATTGTATACTTTATTAAAAATACTAGAATTTGTGCTTTCAGCATGTTTGCTATGACATATGTCAGAAATAGATTAGTCTAAGCATTTGATAATAATATCAGTGCGGAAGAAAACAACGGTTTGAAATTTATGTTATCAAAAACGATCAAATGGAGTACGATGATGGAAATAAAAATAGAACATGCCTAAATTGTGTGAATATTTCGTAGTTTTTATTAAATCTTTTAGAATTTCAATTTCTAACAATAATAAGACGGAGTTGCAGAAATATTATCATACCGTATTTCAATAATTCAATTGTCTACGCCTATCTACTAATATTGATACTTGAAAGCTTGAATAAGTAAATGTTTTCCAAAGTTCATTGTTTGATCTTGACGAAGCCGCTTTTCTTCATAATAAAAACATCATAGAATTAGTTCTTTTTAGTCTTACATTATTGGAGAAAATGCTAACAACTTATATATTAAGTTACAAACGTTTTCTATCGCTTTTTTATAGCTTATTAGAACAGTTAAAAGATAATATTCATGAGAGAGATGGGATGTTAAAATGGAAAGTTTTATTTCAGATTTGAAAAATAGTCTTCCAGCATTACTCTGAAAATTACTCGTGGAATATGAAAACTAATGATTATTCAATTATATTATCGAATAGCTTTCAAGAAAATATTCTATATCTAATGAACATTCTTATATTTTTATCTGCACAATGGCATCTTTTTTTTCAATGTGATTTCACCGAAACTTTATATCTTAATTGAACACAAGGTTTCATAATTATTGTGAATTGGTGCAGATAATGCAGAATTTGGAATAAGAATTTTTTAAAATGTGAAATGATAAGTCGTATAAACTTCCTATGTAGTTTGTAAAGTTTGAACATTTGATGATAAGAAATAATACTTAAGAAGAAAGTATCGGAATTGATTCTGAATTTTCGACTTCATATTTAGGCTATACATAAATCTCAGTGACACAAAGAAAATTCAAAAAGCATTCATATTTAGGGTTCCTGGTTCAAGATATGTAGTTAACGTTATGGCGGAAAAAACAGTGTTTTCTTTATTTTTCAAATAATCGTCTATATATTGTGCTAATAATTTGTATGTTTAATTAAACTGAATTACGAAATTTGAAAACTTTAATAATGAAGAAGCTAGTCTCCAACAGTTTCTACAATACAACAAAACAACCAAACGATACTACAGTTAAGCCGGACATGAAGAAAATGCAGTTTAATGGTATTAATCGATCCTAGGCTGTGTAGAACGGCTCATATTAACGATTCAAAAATGGTGCAAAAAACGAGTGCCATTTTGATGATCGTTTACGTTGCACTCTGGAACAAAGAAATGGGGCAATTAATGATATCTGTTACCATTATCGTTTAAGTTCTAATGGTAACGACCACCATTCCGACTACCGTTTCATCCACTTTCCCGGATGGCTTTTATACGAAATAAAAAAATATCTTCAAAACGTCTTTAAATGCTTCTAATAATGCATAGTAGATAAATCTTGACGATCCTATCTACCACTTCTAATTGGACCACTTTCCGAAGTTTTGTTGATGGTTTTTGCTGAGATCGAACTGCATTTTACTCGTTTTTTTCTCTGAAACTCTATATTTTTTTTTGTTAATATGACGTCCTCATTAACTTTTTTGACCCGCTTCAAACATCAATAGATAGATTTTGTTGAGATCTATTCGATGATATGGCATGTGTTGTACAAAAAAAGCACTACTTTACTTGTCAGGAGGATTGACAAATTTATAGACATTTTTATTTTCTTCTATACTTCTTTAATTGATTATTTAATATATTTTAATTTCTATTACTATACAATAATGTAACGTTTCGTTGCTGTACGCAACTTCTTCAGATAAAAAATACACTACATAAATTAAACTATATATTTTACAATAGAATAAGTAAAAAACAAACAAAATAGACAATTATTTTTCTTTTTTGTTAACTTTTAATAATGATACAGAAGTGACTAAAAATCCAGTATATTATTGTTACTATCTTACTCCGTGTCATTGTTCCAGATAAGAAAAAGAAAAATAACCGTCTCTTTTGTCTGCTTTTTTGATTTATTCTATTGTAAAATGTACAGTTTAATTCATGTACTGTATTTTTTATCTGAAGAAATTGCTCACAGGAACGAAACGTGACATTATTGTATAGTAATAAAAATTAAAATATATTAAATAATCAATTAAACAAGCGCAGAAGAGAATAAAAATGTCTTTGAAAAACGTTATTATGTCATGCCACTCGCTGAGTAACATGATGTCTCTGTTAAATTACCGAGTTAAAATACATATTATTGGATATTCTTCGTTCGTTATTTTTTTCATTGGTATATTATAGATGATAGAATTCATTTTTTTTTGCTCTAGATACTTAGTAAGAAACTTATTGAAGTTTCAGTGATAATATTCGCTGCATATCTAAATAAAAACTCATACACATTTAAGAACAGCAAAAAATAACGGTAGCAAGTTCCTTGTTAAAAAATACAATGTGGTCCAAAATTTACATTACCGTACAAAAAAGAATTGACTATCTTCTCCATAGCTTGACGAAATGGGCTGATTTGTTTTTTTATTGATAATACAAGAGTGTTCATGATTCATATCCATGGGTAAAGAAGTTGGAAAGAACCGTTTTTGACATTGGATGGATGCTTGTAAAGACAGGGTACTCACACGCATCTACGCTTGCATCCACATCGTTTTCATTTCTGTGCGATTGAATATACTTGAACTCACTCTCTGTGTACTTGTTTAATGTCCTTTCTTCTAGCATCATTCAATGTGTTCTGTATTCGCCATCTTTCATTGAGTATGTTAACTCTTTTTCGAACATTTATAACTGTAAATACATGAGGGTGTGGGTGCACGTAAAGACAAAACATTCATACTCACTCACACTGGCATTGGTTTTTTTTTGCATCCTATAAGAGGATAGATTTTTGTTGTTGCAGTCAATGGTGATATTTTAAAATGGTTCTTTCCAATTTTTGCTCCATGACTACTAGCTATGAATATTCATTTATCATCAGTAAAAATACCAACCCATTTGGCCAAGTTATGCCGGAGATATTCAATTTTTTTTGTACCGTAGGTGACTTTTGACTCATCCTGTATATCCATAAAATTTGACTTTTTTTTTACTAGTGAACTACTTTATCTGAAAGAAAGTTTCATTTTACATCACACATCTACTTTGCATGTAGCATGTATTGGTAAATTTGTATTCAGAAATTCTAGTTATGAAATGACATGCTTCATTTAACATTAGATAAACATAAGTATAGTCTTGTCAAGGACGAAATTGGAATAATTAAAGTAAACTATTTGCGGCAAAAAACGGTGTAAACAAGACGTTAAACAATGAAAATACGGTCTTAATACTATCCATCAGTTTTTGATGGAAATGACTTAAACGGTATCAATTAAAGTCGTTGTTTGAGACAGTCAGAATGAATGTCCTGAGTCATGTAGAAATGATAAAAGTAAAATATCTTCGGACGCCATAAAAAGCAGATCAAACCAAGAGTGTAATACTTTTCTTCATTGCATAGAAATAAGCTGAAAGAGAAGTCAGCTTTGATAACATGAACAATTTTCAGGATGAATCTCTCGCTATTCATTTGTATATTATCTGTATTGAATGTAGTTGGAAAAGAAAAGTGCAATTAGTTCGAAATATATGAGCGATGCTATTTTAATAATACTATTTCGATATCGTATTTTAGTTAAGATTAAAATAGGATTGTTCGGATCATATAGGAATGATAGTTTGAAAAGAAACGAATAAAAATGCCTCTTTTTCGTCATCATCATTATTAACAAAATATCTCCGAAATGAACAAGCATAAGCACGAATACTTTAAGGGTTTTCTCAGTCTCTCATTGAGATTTACTTATAGATAAAAGATGAAGTGAAAAGTTCACAATCGGTTATGATACTTGTCGGAGGAAAAATTAAAATTTCAGTTTTTTCTATAGGACAATTTTAAATATTCTTAAACATACAGTATAAACTTTATTATTTTCATATGTCCAAAAATACAATGTTTAAACTAGGTATTTGAACATGATTTCATTTTTAATGAATGATATTTGATCGCACACTGTATTTCTACTCCTTGACAACAGAATTTCTTTGTTGAACAAGTGCCATTACAGTTGCATATTTCAATAGAAGTAATTAAACTTGCACTCATATATGATTTACACGCTTGCATGAATATCATTGTTGATAATATTGTTGAATCGACATCATGTGAATTGTGAAAGTTACAGTTGGATAAATCTAATAGATCGAGTTCTTGAAAACGTGCGATGATTATTCATATTGTTGTATATAAGTGATAGATACTATATCATTCGATGGTGATTGCAACGATATTGTCTTGCATGGCAATATTTTAGGTACAACATTTGTTCTGTCTAAATTGTCATTTTTATTTCATTCTTATCTTTGGTCGATTTTATCGGACGTAAAACATATTTTAAATTTTTCAGAATTTTAATTTCTCCTTCGACATATGCTTTACAATCTCATACGAAAGCTTTCTCGCTCAAATTCTTCCATTATTCATCTAAGCTATCAATAGAGACACCATATTGCTCATTACTATACATTTTCATTCTTCGATCATGGATTAATTCATTGAAAATACAATCGATTTTACATCAAATTTACCGCTATGATAAACTTTTCAAGACTTTATAATAAAAGACAATAAATTTATTTCATTAATCTGATCATTCTCGCATTATTTTATTAAAAATCAGAATTTTATCGATATTTCTTCTTTTTGTCACTTCCGATTTTATTGAAACTGGTTTCGACATAAATATTTTTATTCCTATTTATGCCTTCCATTGTAAGAAAAACTAAATCTCAAAAAAAAAAAAAAACAATAAAATCAACGCATGACAAATTTATTTTATTGATTTTTCTTGTGTTGCAGCCCATACAATAATAATTTGTCGAAACAAAACCAAAATGGTCTATTTAAACCAAAACACATTTGAAGTTTATCATTAATATTCGTTTTCAATAAATTTTCAGTTTCGTCTGTATCAGACAAACTACGCTTGCATGATACTGGAGATAAATGACAAAGAAGAAAACTGCGCTGTTCTTGTATACTTGATGAAGGATAAGCCTGAATTAAAAAATAAATCATCAATCTAGCCATATACGGAAACCTACCGTAGTAAATCGGAAATAGAGGATAAAAATGAACAGTATACATAAACATCGATACCAGGATTTCATAATTGGATGTAAATATTACGAGGTTTGATTAGAAGTAAGATTGAATAGTAAATGAAAGTGTTTTTCTTTCTTTTTTTATATATAAAAAGGTAAGCTCAGTAGTTTATCTTCTATGCATCAATCTATCTTTATTATATTCCATGCATGAAATTCTTTTTGCTAAAAAAAAATGCGTAGGCATATCATGAATGTCTCAATCTGTATGAAAGGAAAATGTTAACGATAGTGATTGTTCTTCTTTTAACGGAAATTATCATGTTGAGATGTATTTTTTATGATGATGTTATAGTTGATGCAACATTCAAGGAAATGAATTGTTGTGTTAAACAGAATAAATATTAATGTAATATTGAATAACTTGAAAAAGTTTGAATTTCATTCAAGTGAACTGTTTCCACTGAAATTCTTTCTTTCTAACATGACATAGTTTGATCTTGCGAGTTATTTTTTATTTCTATTTCAAAAGTCACGTACGTTTTTCATCAATTTAATTTTTATCATCAGCATTCTCAAATAAGAACTTCCAACATTGTTAACAATAATGTTTATTGAAAATCTGAAGTGAGATTTATCAAAAAAAAAAAACTAATACTTTACTCATGTCGTATGTTTGTTTGTACAACGACCGATATACCACGGTAATAATAAAAACCGGTGGTAGCGCTTATGACTTTTGGTTCTAACTATAAACAATCGTGGAGAGTGTTCTCTATCCAAATTCGAATTATTTATTAGAAAGAACTCAAATTAATCGAGGAGAAAATAGTTTTAGAATATATTTTACAAATAAAAATTTATCTCATAACTGGAAACGATTCGGATTCTGTGGCTCCAACGTATCAACGCCGTCAGAGTGCATCAAAAACCACTCAATTCTACCAGTTTTAACCAACTTCAAAAATATTCATCCGTTTTGATACAATATACCATGACGCAATACTTACAAAAATAAAACCGACGATAGTTTCTCGGTAGTTATCACATGAGTATCTTCAACCTAGGTAGTATTTAAGAGGATGTAGTAACTATCAATCAACCTGATGCTTCTCTATCGTTCTAGTTTTAGTTAACTGTTTTGTAAATTTTATTGATGAAAATAATGGAAGAGAAAAAAATTCGTAGTAATGTCATAATATCGACACAAGGGATATTTAAATCTCAAAGTCAAGATATTCAAACAGGTACTCATGTAAACTGTTCACTATAATAAAAACAACAACTTATCGTGAAGAACAATATCTTCCTTATTGAAGATGGACTTAAAATCGGCAAAGTAGAGAGATTTGAGTTGATTTGCTGTAATCACTTCGTTATCCAATATGGAATGGGTATGGATGAAGAGTAGACTGAAGTCAGACAAGATACCCGCATTCACATTTACACATCAGAGTTGTAACCGATTGAGAATTTTTGAACCAATCGGATCTGGCCGGCTCAAAAAGTCTTTTAGATCGGTAGAACGCGGCAAAAACTAATCAGTTTACTTAATCATTATTAATCAGTTAATGAAAATGGCTTTAAAAAAACATTCATTTTCATTTTTGTACTTAAGTTTTTACGAATCTCCTTGAATGAAATATCATGTTATAATCGTCCATATCCATTAAGTTTCTCAAAGATGAATATGTGATATTTCTATACACAGTGCGAAAAAAAAGGACCATTTATTCATCAACTGGTTGCTGAACTCTAAATGATAAATTTTCTCATTCAGCCTTTTCAGACAAACCTAATGTTTCTCTTCAAACGACAATTCAAACCTAAACTTCTTCGTTATCAAAACATATATAATATAAGTTTAACTTTAGTAACACAGGTTTCAATTGAGGTTTTTAAAAAATAAAGGATACTTCGATTAAGAGGACAGAACGACGCGGATGAATAGAAGACAATAAAATAGATAGTTCTTGAAACAACATGTTTGATTACTTGTTATAATCGTAAGCAAACTTGTTCTCAACAAGTTTTATCAGGAAAAATGACATATTTATAAAATATTTCCCAACCGGTGAAAATCAGCCGATCCAATCATTTCAACCGGTCCGATTGCAACTCTGCCATATACCACACCCTCAATATTGGATGTAACAGTATTAGAATATCTATGAAAATTCCCTATTCATATTTTATCTACTTTAAACCTATTCGTTGTATGCAAACAAGGAAATTAATGTATGGCAATGAAATATTTAAAGTCTTTTTGATACGTACTAGATCGATTATGTCAAATAATCAGGAAAACTTCAGTCTATTCTTCTTTTATATGTAAGGATGATACCGATTGATTTTGTATCAAAAGTATACGTGATCATCAAGTTGTTGGAACATTGCTGGTTGAGATATTCATACTGATTATAATGCCATATATGCATGTTTACATTTTTCTTCCGTTAATCTATTGCTTTTTGTTCTATCTTGATAATAATTTCAACGAGAAGTATTCTACAATGTCATTCAAACGTATAGATCTTAATTGGCAGCATTGATAGCATGAAGCTATCTATTAACAATTAGTGTTCAAATTTAGTGGTAATGATCAGGAAAAGAGAACGAATACATTTTCGATCCTTCTAATTTATCTGAATACTCGATTTGAGAACGATGAAATTGGTCGAAAATACTGTGTTTAAGGACTATCATTGTTTGTGATGAATAAAAAATAACGTCTAATTATCTTTTATCAATCAATATCTATTTCATCATGTATTTTATTTATAATGCAAACTGTTGTGAATCTATCTTCTTAAGATCACTATTACTATATAATATTTAAGATTTTTTCAAAATTCCACTATCGTTGTTTTTTTCGAGACTATTTGACATTACCGTTCATTCAATTTTCTCTTGCATATATAATACATGTCTTGATTTTGATTGGATTCTCTTCGATTCAGTATGTGCTAATCTATCTGTACGAATTACATACGATGATTGAATGTGTAAATCATTTTATAGAAACAAAGAAAATATTTTATAAAGGAATGTTTACTATAGAAGAAGAAATGTATTGAATTAACTGTGAAGAAAAGATTTACAATATAAAAATCTCTTATTATCAGCTGAGATTTTATAAACATGAATTATAGTAACAATGATAACAAATCGATAGAATTTAAGTTTAACATAGTACCCGATATCGGTTCAATGATTCTAATGATAATTGTAGTTTGTAATGATCTTGTCGTCTTACAATGCATATTCATGGAAATTTTCTAATAAGGAAAGCATCGCAACTGATAAATCACTTTTGAGTCAAGACTACATGCATTATGTAGATTAAAATTAACTATGAATATCCGGAAAAGAATTCATGCACGTCGCTTATTTCTGCAGAGATACTACAATTTTACGGTATTTTTTTTAAATAAATGCCGTAGTATCCATCAGAAATACTAACAAAACTAATTTTCAAATTTCGACTTGAAACTGTACAGAGACAGGCCTTAATGAGAGTAGTTTATTGTATAGGTTTCAGATCTTTTCGTCGTTTTTAACTTAAGATACAGCCATGGTAAAAGAGTATCCTTTACACCGCTTATATACATCGGCAGATTCGGTGTTCTTAGTTCAAGAGAGAAGCAAATTAAAAGACTTGAAACTTCCACTATTAACTACTCTAATTAAGACCTGTCTGTATGGGGCAAGTTTCAAGTTGAAATTCGAAAATTAGATTTTCTGTTCTTCATGAGGGATACCACGGCATTCATTCAGAAAATACCATAAAAGTGTAGAATCTCCGTAGTAATAAGCTAAGTACACGAACTCTTTTCAGAATATTCATAGCTCATTTGAGTCTACATGATGCACATAGTCTCAATTTGAAAGTAATTTATCAATTGGAAAATGTTCTTCATTAGAAAAGAGTCATACCAGTCGGATATTATCTGTTTATCGCTACAATTTAATGTTACCTGTATGAATCAATAGATTCAATGAATCATCTAAATAACATTTTCTTATCTAAATAAAATATACAATAAAATGGTTATCATTGAAATTGTAAGGTGATTAGAAGGCGTAGCACAATTCAAATACGTATGCTCATTCCATCTGAATATTGATTTCTTCTGTCTAGAATTGTTTTCGAAAAAATTATTGTGTGTCAGTAATTCATAAGAAGAATTCGAGTATGATTATCGGTTTAATGATGTTTAGAAAAACGCTATTCTTAACGGAAAAGTCTAACCCAAGATCTATGTCTTATCCGAAAAGACTCCTCAAATACAATATTTGACATCAGATAAATGCGGAAAATATCGCAAAAGTTCATCTTATTGAAATATTGAAACATACTAGATGTATTTCATGAGTTTGATAAACAATATTGTAAAGCAATCGTACAATTATCTTAATTTCTAAAGCGTCCTTTTTTTCAGACGTCATGTAAATTCGAATTGACATAATGCAGTTCCATTTACGCTTTTGAATTTCGTATAAACACACTTTGAAAAGAAAAAACCTTGATCGAAAATAATGAATGAAACCTCAAATCTTGTTATGAATGTTTTCTTTCTTCATAATTGAATGAATCACTACTGTACTTTAAACATATAATAGAAACTGAAAAACAAATCAATTAGACCTGGCATGCACCTTGCAATTAGCAGCATGCAAATTATTTTCAATAGAATGCACGGCTCAAATAAAGCTATAAAAAACAGGTCAAATGAAAGGAAAACAAAGAAAAAAATGTACTTTTTTCTTTAGATGCGTAGGTACCTAAATTACACACGATAATTGTTGTTTATGTAACTACAAAATGTATAAAAGCATAGCATTTTCAACAAGACGAACGAATCGTCGTCAAAAATAAGAAGAACACCAGTACCAATGACCATGCAATCCATCGTCGTATTATCGCTGGTAAAATCTCTTTTATAGGCTTTTTCTAAAATTCCATTTGATCTATTGTTTTTTATAGTTGGTTCTTACTGTCAGTGTTCTTTCAAAACCACCTCCACCGGGCGCACCACCAGGCCCGCCACCTGGAGGAAATGGTACTGCTCCATCAGGTCCGCCACCTGGAGGAAGTGGTGGTACACCACCAAGTCCGCCACCTGGAGGAAGTGGTAGTACACCACCAGGCCCGCCACCTGGAGAAAATAAGGGTGGTCCACATGGTCAACAAAAAAGCGGTCGTAAGCAACGTTCATTCTTATGGTATTAGACATTAAAAGTTGACTATTTGCCATAATTATCCCAACAATGATCTCAAACGATTTTTTTTGTCACACATTATTACACTATTGTGAAGTAAAATAAATAGACCTTTCCATAAAGAAACGAAATGCAATAAAAAGTACAGCAATAAAAATTCTTCATGAAAGAGAATTGCAGAGCCTTCGCTTGCACGTGATATATTCGTCAAAATGAAAGAAATATCTTTCAGATAAAACGACAAGACAAATCTTTGAAACACAAGCTTTCAGAGGAAAAGAATACTTACGCATGACAGAATTTGTTTTAAGACAGTCATAAAATCGTTTTTCTCAGACAACAAATTGACAATAGCCGTCATCCACATAGCCATATTGTTATTAATTAGTCAAGCCAAGTTGATGTTCTCCAATTTCTATTTATGTAAATACTAAGCTTGCTATGTGTTTGACTAGGCAATATTTTATTCTATCAAATCTTTGACCAACATCTGGAGATTTTTACTAGAAAAAAAAATATATTGAAGATGATTAAAAATCTGGCAAAAAAAAGAGCTTATGCTAGAGATATCATTTTTCTGTTAATTTAAAATAAATTTAAATAATATTTTTTGTAATTTATGTTTAAAAATAAGTTCAAGTTATTCACACCATGTAATTTATTAAATTATAATTTAAATTAAATAATCCTATTTCTTTATAATACCTCGTATAGGATATATATCCTATTTTTGCATATAACATTTATCTATAAATTATGCGTTACATAATGTTTGTATTCAGCCAATAGATTATGATCTGGCGAAAGATTCTACTCTTCATTAAAACGAATTTTTCAAAGAAAAATCAAATATGAAGTTATATCACAGGAAGATGGTACATATTTCAAACATTCATTTCTGAGTTTAAAATATTTGGGATGTTTGTGTTAGCCGTATCTGTAACTAAAGCCAAGTATATGCACGCACATTCATATTCAGGTTTCTTATGGGACAGCGTATGGAACCATGTCAAGCTTGACTTCAGCTTTGACAAAACCGTTTAGGCCTTTTCGGATAATCGCAAACGCAACAAAATAGATAATGTATTGAGTGGCGGCTGAGCAGCAAGCAAGGAATATTAGTTTCATTTTTTGTCAAAACTAAAGTCAAGTTTACTATGGTTCGATGCGCCGTCTCACGAAGAATCTAAATATGATCTTGGATTGTGTTCTTGACTTTGTTTTAGTACAGTAAGATGGCAACAATTATTCGTCAACACTATGCCAAAAGAAACCGATTTTTTTATGAAGATTTTTGATTTTCTACAAATTAAAGTATTTTAAGTCAATCTCGACCAAAACAAAAGCTTTAAAAAAATTTATCAAAATGCTTAGAATTAAAATCTCTAGAAAAACTTGAAATTTCAAAATCGAAATTCACCTTTGTACTACACGATTGACACTATGATAATACTCTCCTCATAAATATTTAAAAAACACGATATCTTATCTTTCTTCATTTTGCATTTTGTCAGATCAAAAATGGGGCAGCTCACGTCTAGTGTATGTTACAGAGCAAATGACTCTCTGAAAAATCTTTTAAATGGCTATACTCACGAGATCGATCTTATTAGAACTTTTTTACTCCCAAGAATGCATACTACTATTTACAGAATGTATCGTGTGCATGAAATAATAACATACTCAAACTATTTAGAAAATCATAATGTATGGTAGTGAAAATGTAGCCAAGATCAGGATCAATCAGAGTATTTATACATAATTAATATTTTAAGCATTGAATTTGAAAGGTTCTTGTATGGAATCAGTTTTGACAAAATCTTAATTTTTTCGTAATTATACTCAAATATTATAGAAAATGTCACCTCGATATGTATATTTTTATTAATGAGATTTAGAAAATTGATCTTATGCAAAAAATCAGGTCTACAAGATGTACAAACCCTGAAAGTTTCATGCAATTTTGAAATACATTTGTCTTAGGTGGTAGAGACCAAACTTGGTATCCTAGATATCTTTTTTAATCCTACCTATGTGATAACTACCGAGAAACTACCCATGAGTATAATGTGCGATATATCGGCGGGTTACTGCCAGTTTTTTTGAAAGCGTTGTATCATGGTGTATTGTATCGACACGGGTGAATATTTTTGAAGTCTGTTAAATCTGATGGAATTGAGTCATTTACGATGAACTCTGATGACATCGATACATTAGAGCTGTCTGTACTAGCCACAGAGTCTAAAATCGGTTCCAGTTCTGACATAGATTTTTATTATAGATGGTGCTGCAAAATTTTCATTAGTAAAATCTATTTTAGAATTAATCTTTTTATCGATGAAATTAAATTCTTTCTAATAATAAATACGAAATGAGATAGAAAACACCCTCTCCAATCGTGTATAGCTGACAGCGAAAGTCGGCAGCTGTACCATCGGTTTTTTTCAAGTACAATAATATGCTAGCAATACTGTAAATAAATGTGCAACATAGGTTTTCCATCCGCTAGTCGAGCGTTAGGTCGATTCGATAATTTTCATTCTCTATCATTTAACAGTGTTAGTTCGAATCCGAAAATCAATGAATTTTTCTTTTCTAACTTAATTATGTTGTCTTAATCATTTGATACATCTGAAGTTTGTCGATTGTTTAACGTCCACAGAAATGATTTTTATTTTTTGTACTCCTATTTTTGTATCAAGATCGTTGCAATACTTAACCACTCATAAGAATTATTGACGTTCGAATCAATTTATCAGTTTATTTGAAAAGACATCACGTTTACGGAAACTTTCCATGTCATTGAATAGCTATGAGGAAGATAGTCTTCCTTTACATCATGAATTTATACCATCATCTCAGAATCAATCAGTTAAAAGATTAGTTCGATCTCGGATACATTCACAATATTTAATGATCAGACAATTGTATTCACTGTTATTTGAATTATGAACCATTTTGACAATGCCATCATATCGATATACTAACGCTTTAATCCGTCGACTAGAATTACAAGGTTTTGATTAATCATCTTGTCGATATTGCTATGATAGTAAACAATGTATGGAACTGAATTGACCACTATTGAGTATTCAATGTCGAATATTAATCATTGAAGTACAAGAGCCAAAAAGCATTGTAGAATTAATTAATTTCATGATAAATCTTTGAACATTGCATGTTTTGCATGTGCATAATAAACGTAGTAATAAGTATGATTATGTCAAAGTATTACAATATTGTTTGCCATGAACAGGAACTATCACTCGATTTTCTTGTGGACATTTTATTATTCGATCATGAGTTTTATTTATATAAATTTTGTTAAATACAGTTTTAAATAGAAGGGCGTGGATATAGGTGAAGAAGGACAGGAGATCCACATTCAACCTCTTCGATCAATCTAAAGTTGCGTTTTCTGTCAATAAAATTAACAATACAATATGATCGCTTAGTAATTTTAAATGATATAATTTATTTTAATTATCATCTACATTATACAAAGATTTTCAGTTAAAACATTTAATTCTTTGATCGAAAAAAACAAATAGCAATTGATAAAATAATGACGAATTAGTTATATTCATAGTTATACTAAAAACAAGAATTATTATTGTTTTGATTACTTTTTAAATCATATTACAAAGAATATGATCGTATTTGTGTTTTTTTTTGCGAAAGTATGAAATGAAAATTGTCGGTAGAAATTAAAAGATTTCTATGAAAGTATACATCTTTATTATTTTACGTTTCAATATATTCACTGTTATAGGAAAACATGATTCAAAAAGAAAAATTTCAATTAATATAATATTCGATAACTAAGAATAATAAATAATCAAAAGATATACTATCTACAATTATCAGTAAATAGTTTTAATACTATATTAATTTATTAATAATTCTTTCATTTTATAGTTCAAAACGATTAGTTTTTATTATTAGTGTGAAGTGATATTAAAGTTATTGTATATTTCAATATTGTTTCTTTTGCTATCATAACGAGAAGAACAAACATTTTAAATCATAAAATATGTTTTTCACAGATAAATAAAATTATGATAAAGTAAAATTAGGCACTTCATCCAATATTTCTTCTAGAATTTGCTTATTGATACATATAAAATAGTCTTGATATTATCTTGTATACTAAAAAATGAATAAGATAAGAAAATATTTCTTTTTTTAATAATAATTGTTTCTAAATTATTTTCGAAAATTTCTTTAATACTTTACGAATTGAAAAACATAGTCATTATATGACTTTTTTACAACATTTGATGACATGCTTTTCTTATTGCTATTATAAGAGTGATGTATTTGTTTTCATTTTTTAATGAATTCTACCGGATCCATGTGAAACATTGTATCAGAAAATTATATGATCACTCTTGACAATGACATATTTCATTGTTTCATTGAATTATAAAAATGTAATTCGATTAGCAAATAAAAAACAAATGTAAAATAGCAACCCTAAATATCATAACTAATGTCGGCGCCAAAAGTAAATGGTAAAAACTCTGAGAGGAATATCTTCCGAACGGATTCAGCTACCGACCTGCGGTTTTTACCAATCGAACGAGGAGGAGTGGGGGCGTCTTTTTCTCCGATAATGTATACGACGGAATCTTTTTATAACTAATCCTATTTGAAGAACATGCAAAAGAACCCATGAAAATGACCTGTCAGCTAGATGAAATTTTGATTTGAGCTTTGGTTTAGATAGAGAAACTTGAGATCTATAATTCCAGACACAATGCGCTTTCTTACTTTTTCCTACATTTTCCTCGAAATCTCAAGCTACCTTGATATAAACTGTAAAAACTTAGTAAAACACTAGCGAAAATCCCTATGATTTGCGCATGTAAGTACATGATCTCATTTGCGCAACGTTAGAATGTAACAAGACAACCATTTGCCTTGTATCTGGAGCTATAGATCTCAAGTCCCTCTATCTAAATCAAAAGTCAAAATCAAAATTTCATCTAGCTGGAAGGTCATTCTTATGGGTTCTTTTTCATCTTCTTCGAATATGATTAGTTATAAAAAGATTCCGTCTTATACATTATCGGAGAAAAAGACGCCCCCACTCCTCCTCTTTCAATTGATGAAAACCGCAGGTCGCTAGCTGTATCCGTTCGGAAGATATTCCTCTCAGAGTTTTCACCATTTACTTTTGGCGTCGACATTAGTAACAGATATCATGTTTATATATTTGAGCACATGTCAAAAACAAAAAAAACATATAAATTATAAATTACGAAAACATAGAGAGCAGTGTAAAAGTCAATGCTTTAATGAGTGGCAGCAACTGAGAATGATCGATACTTTTTTTTTCGAAAATTTTGTTGGTTCCGAGGAATTTTGAAGTGGAAGAGTGAGAAAGTAATGCTAGAGATCATAGCGATCGGATATGAGACAAGAATATCCGTAAAAACTGGTCTTGATTGTCGAAATATTTCAAAAATCTAGTATCTAGCTTCATGTCGTGATGGCGACGGCTCATATTTTCAGTAGTTATTGATGGCAGTGACGGAAATGCAGCCAGACCACCAAAACGTCTGTATCGGCGGCTTAGTCGATCGACTTTAAAAAATGAACCAATGAAATTTCGAATGTTTCATGAATTTTTTGTTTGATTTTTTTGTCTTTGGATACGAAACTGTGGAAGTAGTTTTGTTTGCCGTGCTTAAATGGTGTATTATTAGAATATTTTCGTTGTGTATTGATTATGCTAAAAACGAAATCAAACATACATTGTAGGCGCTTTGTAAATATGAGCATTCAAACAAAGTCGAATAAAAGCTATCACTAAAAGGTTTTTTCTGATGACCAAATTAAAGAAAAAGAACATATATATATATATATTAAATTTTGTGGGTAATTAAGCAGACACGAAAAATGATGATTTACTAGGAATAGAAGTTATAAAAACACAAAAAAGAAAATTATCATCATCACCAAACAAGAAGAATAATAACAGATCATCATACAGTCAGTGACCGTAATATCATTGACAAGAACTCTTATTGTTTATACTTAATCGGCTTTTTCCTTGGACAGTTCGTTCTTACTGTAACCGTACTATCGCAAACTCCATCTGACAGTAGTCGATGATTACCATCGTCACCTTCGAACAATGATGTTCAATCTGAAAGATCAATATCTCTACTCAACCAAATCAGGGGTCCGCAAAAGGTTTCTAAATATAGGTACTCAGAGTCTATCACAAGGAAGTAGTCCGCATTGTCAAGGCCTGTCAAATATAGGCAATAATCGTCCATCATCAAATTTTTCAATAAATGATAAAAATCAATATCAAAATGGTCAACAACTACGGAAATTAATGAATAATGGTACACTTATATGCAGTTTGAACTGTTTTTCTAACACAACGTGAGTAACAATAAAAATGAATTTTGTTTTTGTTATATAGCATGACTCGATTTTAAATAAAATAAATTCTACGATATTACAAATAAACGAAATATAACAAAACAAAATGCAACAATGAAAATGCTTCTCGAAAGCGAATTTAAAAAGTAATTGTTAAGTTTTTTTTTTTGGAAAGACAATATTAATTGCTAATTTTGGGATGTTTTTTTTTGTTTTTATAACAATGGGAAAAAAAGAATTTTTTGATAAGTAAATAAATCATAGCAACATCATTTTAATCATTTATTTCGATATTAAGCAAACAGTCTATACTTATAGATTGATCACTATATTTAAGAAACAATGATAATCGCTTACTATGTGTCTATTCTAATAGAATCAAGATAAAATACAGCTTATTGAAAAACTAGTTTAGCTATTTCATACAATAATATATATATTTATAAATGAGTGTCACAATGATGACCATTTGAAAACAAATAAAAAGGATAGGGAGATTTTTTGAAAAAATATTGCTGCATTGTCGATCCTTGTGGTAGAGTATATACATGAAAGAAGTAGATCAATAGTACTCTAATCAAAAAAAGATACGACAGATAATTGATTGTCTTTCATTGATTATTATTCAAGCGAAGACAATATTTCCTATATTCTAATTGATAATTTTATTGAAATTATGTAAGTGACAAAAAAAATCTACAGTACATAGATGATTTCTTCTAAATTAATGTCAAGCCCATTGAGTCGATTGCCCTTCTAGTTCAATTGAAAACATTCGTTGTTGTCCAATAGTGATATGATACAAACCAGGATGAAGCCATTTAGATGCATCTCGTGCTATGGTCAAAGCTGCTTCAATAGTAAAAGGAAAGAATACTTCTTTTGTTTCATTTATTGCCAAATGAATACGTTCAAAACCAAATAATTGTTTAAAAGGAACAATTTCACCATCGATTATATTAGGTGGTGTAACATAAGCTAAAACAACATCATCACCTGCCATATTTCCAGTATTTGTGACATTAATACGAATTAAAGAAATAAGTGTACGATTTGTCTTAGAATTATTTTTTATCAAAGATTGAATAGAATAAAAAGAAAAGATTGTATTATTATTCCATGTATAATTAAATGTAGTATAAGATAAACCATATCCAAATTCATATATAGCTTTACCAGTATAAAATTTATATGTTCGACCAGGATTAACTGGAGATGGTCGCATTTGCATATCAAACATACTTACTTCATTAACATACGATGCTGGATAAAATGTGATTGGTAAACGACCAGCTGGATTATATTGCCCAAAGATAACAGTAGCTAATGCAAGTCCACCCGATTGTCCTGGATAACCGATCCAGGTAAGACTACTACATTGTATTGAATCTCTAATATACGATAAATCAATTCCACTACCAGACATAATAACTATGTGAAGTGGTGAACGAGTTACTTTTTCAAGTTGTTGTATTAAAGTAAGTTGAATGTCTGGTAATGTAATTGATTTACGATCAACTCCTTCATCTTCAATTGTATGATCAATTCCACCAAAGAAAAAGACAATATCAGATGATCGAGCTAATTCTATTGCAGCAGCAAAGTCTTTCTCATCATAACTTGATATTCCACAACCACGAGCATATTCGATATTAATTAATTTTCCTAATAATCATATGAAAAGAAAAAGAAAAAAATTATTCAATATCTCCAGTTTACTTTAATCAATTGGGCTGATTGTTTTTTCTCAATGATAGAAGACTCAGTCAGAGATTTTATTCGTCAGTAACCTGTCAAATAGATTCTGTATAGAACTAGTAATATTGATCTCAATCAAGAAATACACTATTATTCAAAAGTATTTCAACGTATGATTTCAGACATTCTTACGACTAGATATGTGACATTTTTAGTGTATATACTATCTTAGAAATTTAGCCTCGTTTACTTAAATTGAAGATGAGCTATGATCTATGACAATACTTCGTACTGTGAGTTCTTTCAATCAAGAAAGGAAAAAGAAGCTTACAACTCGACGAACTTATCATTATCTAATATTTTAATGCAGCTATTTACACTATAAATTTTATCGAGTTTCATCAAAGTGTTCAAAAGCTGTGGATATTTGACATAATGATAGATGGACCAGTTTTGTAAACTTATTTCCTTCTTGACTTATAGAACTCATAGTGAGAAGAGCTATCAAAGATCATAACTTCACTGTAACTCAAGCGATCAAGATCGAATCAATCCTGTTAGACTAAATTTCTAAAGTAGTATATATGCCAAAAATTTCAGATGTATGATCTTAAGCATGACAGAGATTACAAGAGCAGAGAATACTTTCAGCCAGTACTGTATTTCTTGATTGAGATCAATAGTACTAGTTCAAAATAATATCTATTTGATAGTTTTCTCATAAAAAAAGAATTTTGACGAGTCTTCTATTACTGAGAAAAATAAAACCAGTTCAATCGATGAAAACAGACTAAAGATATTGAATGTTTTTATTGATCACTCTGTATATAACTTTTCAAACCTGTTGTTAAGTTTTTAAATCCTGTTATAGGATCAATAAGAAATGGAGCTCGTCCATGATAAATTCCTTGCATTGTTACTGTTGCATCTGCTGTTGGTCCAATTAATGCTATTTTCTTATTCATTAATTGATCGATATGTAACGGTAATGCATTATTCATATTCTTTAATAAAACAATACTTTCTTGAGCACTTATAAGTGATAATTGTCTTGCTTCTAATGTATTAACATTATTCTTATTCAAATGTCGATAAATTTGTTGTTCTGGTGGATCAAACCAACCAAGTCGAATAAGAATATCAAATGTACGCATTAATGCTTGATCAATATCAGTTTCAACAATTTTTTTACTATTCAATGCATCATGTAAATGTAATAAATAAAAAATACCACAGTCAAGATCTGTACCAGCATGTAAAGCAACAGCTACTGTATCTTCAACTGTCAATCTATAATGATGTGTATATAAAATATTTGCAATAGCTCCACAATCACCTACAACAAATCCATTTAAATGAAAAGATTCTCTAAAAATTTTCAAGAGAAAATCTTTTTTATTTCTGATTTATCATAATCTAAAAATATTCTATTACCTTGCAATAGTTTCTAATAGAAATTGATGAGCACAAGCTGGTATTCCATTAATTGAATTATAACTACACATAATACTAGCTACTTGTGCATCTTGAATACAAGTTTTAAATGATGGTAAATATGTTTCAACTAAATCTTGATCAGTTACTTTAGCATTAAAATAATGTCGACTTGTTCCATTCCAATTTTCTAAATCATAAGCATCAAAATGTTTACAATTACCAGCTATTTTTAAATATCTTTCATCATCACCACGTTGTAAACCTTGTATAAATGCATATACATATTGAGATGTTAGAAATGGATCTTCACCAGGTGTTTCTTGTCCACGTCCCCAACGTGGATCTCGAAAGATATTGATATTTGGTGTAAAGAAAGTAAGACCAGCTTGATCTTCATTATTAAAAGCACGTGCTTCAGTTGAAATTATACTTGCTATATGATGTACAAGACGCATATTAAATGTTGCACCAAGATTAATTGGCATAGGAAATGAAGTAGCAGCAGGTAAATCACCACCGAAAAATACACCTGGAGAATAAGCAAGACCATGAAGAGCTTCTGACCACCATTCATATTTTGGTAGACCAAGACGAGATATTGCATCAGATGTCGTAATCATGTGAGAAATTTTTTCTACTAGAGTCATACGACTTATTAAATCGAGAGCTCGTTGTCGAGATGGTAATGATTGATTACAGATAGGAAAAGATGATAATGGACCTGATTTACAATCAGGAAAATTACCAGATTGACCATTAATCCAGACTATTCGAGTAAGAAATAGTATAAAAAATAAATGCATACTTTAGATTCACTAGAAGAAACTGTCAATATAACATGGGAGAGAATGAATTTAATATCATACCTTGAGATAAGACAAAGGTATCGAACATGTCTTTGTAATAAAAAAAAAAGGCCGAGTTATCTAGTAACATATCATTCAGATAAAAACAGCATATTAATATTTTTTTTTTAAATAAGACATTATTTTTTTGGATTTTTTATTGTTTCTATTCAAAGTAAGATTTTTATTTGAGTCTTTAAATAAAAATCTTTTAATACTTATACCGTAATTGGTACATTACCAAAAGTAATAATGCATCGATTTTTTTGAAGACAATGAAGTACGTGCTGTTGTGTCAATGTTTGATAGGATTACTCTCATTTCATTCTTGTTTATTTCACCATGACATGATTGATAAGAATTGAGTTTCGAATTGTTTCATCAATATACATTGATTTGAGCAAACAAAAAACTATCGAAGAAAATTTACATTGATGTAGTCGGTTAAAAAGATGAAAATTTTATTTAATTCAACAAAAAAAGAAACATACACATCATCCTTTGATTTCAAGAAACTTCAGATGAATATGTACTTTACAGCTTCTAATTTGATAAGTCAGATATATTTGAAGTTGCTTGTTTTGTCATTAAAAACTACATATTATCTTTATTCTAGATAAGAGAAGATACAGCGTTTGTGTATTGATGATCATGAGATGATCAAAGAATCAAAAGATAAAACCGCAAAGAAAACATATATGTCTATATCTAAAAGCAAGTGAAATATATCGAACAACATAAAACAACCTCATATTTGAGTTTCTTGTCTGTTTTTATTCTGTGTCTTTTCATTGTTCTGATAATTCGTTCACACAATGATCTATTGAAGAAAATTATTTTAACTAACGAATAAAATCCACATCGAAATTATATTCGAACTCGTTTCGGATTAACAATAAAGAAAAACTTGAGAAAAGTTAATTACATGTAACGGTAGTCATTGTTATCAAGTGTCTTTCATGAATCATCACATAATGAAGACGTTCTTAACTATAAAGATCATCAATATATAAATAATAAGGCATGGATAAAGCCATAGATGAATGGCGGTGCAGAGATTGTCTATGTTCAAGTAAATTCGTTTTATGTACACATGTTTTTCTTGTTCTTTGTAAATGTAATGTTCATACATATCTATGATGAAATTGAACATATTTTTGGCAGCTGCTATCAACGCTAAGAAAAATTAAAATAATGATTCGAGTAGAAAATTTTATTTCCATCAAGAATTTTTGAAGATGAAATCGATTGCTAGTTTCTTAGAAGATAGAATCTTTGAAAAAATCTCCAAAGTAAGCTTTTCAGGTCATAGAATTTGTAATTATAATTCTATTTCAATCGTCTAGAATGATACAGCAAATAATTTTCTACAAAATGAAATGTTTTCTAGCTCTGTGCGACGTTTCTTTTTGACCATGATGCATAAACTTGACGAAAGGCACAAAAGTCGTTTTTTTGTATTATTTGGTAATATTATGAATCACCACCAATTACCATAAAGAGCTGTTTTTGTCCCATATTACATCGTTATAACATTCTTAGTATAATTGGTTCTGTATTTACGGAGGGATATGGTCCCATTAATGTGTCATATTTCACTGTAAATGACCGCATACGAACCATATTCTTCAACTAGGGTAATTGATCCATTGGATTACATTTTTCTTGGCAACACAAGTCAGAAGAGGCATAAGTGAAAGTATGTAAACGAAAACCAATGTCTACAAAGGAATTAATATTAATATTATCTTGTCTTTTCAATGAAAATGATAAAATTAAATTATTATATATTAAATTATCTATCAAATGTAATCGTATAGTTAAAACAAATTTCATTAAACAATAAACGTTATATTTTATGTTCATTGAATTATCTATTTTCTTATTTTTACCATTAAATCAGCTATATGTTAGAAAACTAAATACGGCAGCTTCTGTTTCAAATGAATTGAGACATAATTTCAATCAGAAGAACTGATACTCGAATTTGTCAGATTGGTTCGGGTTCGAAAATTTTGCATCTAATGGGCGTTAACTGGGACACAATTAACAAAGGATGAGTCTTCATGAAATGAAATAGAGTTAGTCAAGAAAAAAAACCTATACCTATATGACATGATTCATATTCTGTTTACATACAGTTTTCTACGATAATGAGTCAGCGATCATTTAGCCATTCAAAACACCTGTGACTTTTTTATAATCAAAAAGAAAATAGTACATAAAGATAAAAGAAAGGCGGAAAGTCAATAGGGCGTGTATAACATTCGCCTATAAAATACGATCGTCAACTCATTAGAGAAGCATACAGTTGTGAGATACTGAATAATTATGAAGATGCAATTAATTACAATTCTTTCTTGCGTAAGTGTATTAAACATCTACATTCTTCAATATTATTCTTTGTTTTTAGTTGATTCTTGCTGTAACTATCCTATCGGTTCAAATGCGTCCACATGGAGGCCAATATGATCGAAGACCACCATTCGGTAATGGTACATTTCATTTTAGTGGAACTTTTGCACCATCCAGAAATCACACTGATCATCAACATAATGGTTTTCGTCCACAACATGGACATGAAGATGGTAGTGATTTTCGTCCACAACGTGGACATGAAGATGGTAGTGATTTTCGACCAGGTATATTTTTGATTAACAATTTCAACATGACGTCTATTAATAATGTTTTTTTTTAATAGGAAAACATGGTGGTGGTGGTCATCCATGATTATAGATTGGTCGAATTCATCTGCATTTTATTTTCTAAATAAGTTTTACTACATTGGTTTTTTTATCGTATGTTTTCGCAATTTTAAAAGTAAAGCTGCATTTTTCTTTAATTGTATCTTTATAACATATGAATTTTATTTAATAAATCAAGTGAATAATTCATGTTAAATCTATATCTGAAGTAGTCTATGAAAATAATGACTTTTTTTCGTTGGGTTGGTTATGATATATAACAATGATAGTTATCAAAAATAGTCAGAGCAATTCAAATTGTATATGATTATATGAATATTTTATTTAATAAATAGGTTAAATAAATGAAATTGTATTACAATGAAATGTTTGTTATTCCTCATTTTTTTTCATCAATGTTCATCATTAAAAGTCGAATAAGTCAATAAATTTACGTGGACCTCGACAACGAGATCAAAACGATAAATATTGTTCACATACGCTTTGAGAAACCATTGTATTTGCCAGTTTCATAGCTCCTGTTGCTTATTCCTTTGACTACAAGATTAATTGCCTTCTGTACATTTAAAACGATATTTCATATATCTACAAGACACCACCTTCACCACAATCTCTTGTATGAAGTACTAATATACATTGTTTATACGTGCCTGAATAGTCTTGGCACGATAACGTAGTCGTAAAAAGAAGCAAAAGACGATAGTAGAGAGTAATCGATGGCTGATCATACACTTGAAAAAAAGACAATGTAATAGTTCTTTTCAATATTCTATACTACTACATATTATTATATGACAAGGCATAGTTGTGATTTTGCTATAGAGTACTGTATGCTGTGTCTGCACCATCAATAACTTGTTTTACTTCTTCGAATCTAAAAACAAAAGAATTGTTTATCTTTTTTTCGTATTGATATAGAGTTAACAGTTATTTTAAGGTTTCGAAACGAAATGAGAATAAAACTACATATTCAAAATGAAAATTATAATCATTCATTGGAGAAAGATAGTTAACGAGTAATTATAGATAACTCGATAAGTCCTCTCTTTTTCTATTCATTTAACATTATCACTAAAAAAAAATATATACGTATTTAGTTGGTAAGATCATAACGTTTGTGCGGCTTGTTTCTTACATAACGTATTGCAGCTCTATCATCGTAAGAAGAGCGTCTTCATTCATTCGAAACGAGCAATAAATTTACCTTTATAAGTGAAAAAAAAAACAATTGACGATGACTAACGCATTAATCATGAGAAGAACAAATGCATTACACAGAAACTAGATCAGAAAACATACGAATATGAAAACGAAAAAATAGAAAAGGATAGTACATACGTTCATTTTCTAACAGAATTATATGAATAAATATTAGAAGTACTACCTAAAAAATATCTTCAATTGCTTCTATATAGATGCACTATTCGACAAATCATATTTCAATGTGACATTTTATTAACATTACAATCAATCTATGTCTTCTCTTATACAAAAATAAGTGTTTTAAAAGTCGTATTTATTTATGTCAAATGTTTGGAACCTTTTATTTTAGAATTATAAAAAATATCAGTAGATTTGAAATTCAAATTTATTCATTTTAGTGTCTAACGTACACTTAACAACTCTACGACTTCATTTTTTCCTTGAAATAATTATTCTTAAATTAATTGAGATCGAATTTGCTTGAAATTATAAGCTATTACTTCATATTCAAGTAACATTAATATGGTAATATGAATAATAGAGTATCGAAAGCTGATCTTCAAACATACATAACTTATTTTCAGTGATTTCTAACTATTACACATCTCGATGAAACAGAATCTAAATAGTGATTTGAATAAAGAAAATGGTTTTCAATTCTCAAAGATAGGGGATCCAAAAAATCAAAACCGTAGTTTTTAGCATTCAGAATGTTTAAATATAATTTTGTTTATACTACAAAGAACGATAGAGTAAATGATTCTATAAAAAATGAGATGTCTTTGGATTTTTTTTGCGACGTTTTTTCACTGAAATACAGTAATTTGATTGAAGATCAAAAAATGACTTTTTTGTAATCTAAACAAGATTATTTTTATGTATTCTAGGTTTTGAAACACTAGCCTTTGGGAACTTGATAATAATTTTGATTTCCTTATATTCTTGTTGGAGACAATTTTCTCTATTCGAATTACTATTGAGATTATTTCTGACGCTTACGGTAATGGAAAAAATTGAAAATAAATTAGTTCAAAAAAAAAAAAGAATAATGAGATCTGAAATTCGTGTTTCTTCACTGGTAAACTCAAGATCAGTGTTCTGAAAAGACTCCAATGAATTCAAAGGTAATTGGACATAGTTCATTACATTCCTAATCGGGTTAAGGCGAACCGATCCATGCATTGCAATAACTATATTGAATACAGAAATTTTCTCTCAATAGATTCTCATTTTCTATAATGATACGCACTATTCATAATTATTAAATTTTATTCTATCGTATATCATTAATCACAGTTGAACAGATTTCCTCTACAAACATATAGAGAAAAAAAATACAGGAGAATGCTCTTGTTCTATATAAACATCATTTGTGAGAGAAAAAAAAACGAAATAAAGAACAACAATCAGAAAATAACATCATTATTCGAATTCAAATATTAGATTGCCTCCATTCAAAAGCATTGAGAAATAACTATATTTTCGTTTGCATGAAATCATATTTATATATTTTTGTTTTTTAACATGAATTAAACGATTTTATGTCATTTGCTGGCTGCTTCTTCATTTATCTTCTATTTAAAAAAAAACAATCTGAGTCCATCATAAAAACCATCTGCTCCAATCCATGCTATTTTCATAAATCCTAGTCAACTCTTCCAAAAAAACCTCTAGAAAGTGATTTGAAAAGTTTGTCAGGAAAATCATGACAGAGAATTCGCATTTTTTAGAGGCCTTTCAGTTGATTTCGATAGAGAAAGTGAACTAGGGCATATTTATGGACAAAGCTAGATCTCTTTTTTTTCTTCAATACGTTAAAAAACTTAATCTTTCTTTTTAAAACATGAGGACAGTATCATTTTTATTTAACGATCATTAGTCAAGGATTAATAAGATATTTCCTTTCATTATTAGCAAACGTGAAAAAAAGAATAAATATATATTCTGACTTATATATTCTTCGTCAATATAAATCTTATAAGTAACTTCTAAAACTAATTCTTCTTTCACCATTGCTCGATGAATATCATTAGATAACTAATCATTACGCATAGCCGTGGCTATCCATATTCTTCGATAGAAAAAAACCCAGAAATATTGTATGTTTTAATGGTTATTATTCGAATTAATAAACAGTTACATTCTAACACAAACACCGAGAGTCTGAGTGTGGCTAGGACTATGAATCTTCTCTGTCGTCACATTCCGATCCACTCACACACCCGTAAAGTATAAAACTAATTTAGAAAAATAAAAAACAAATAGATGCTGGTATATCGACTCTTGCTTAGCGCTTTCAAACACCATTTGATCAAAATTCATGACTACTATTAACTAATACATCACAAGTTTGTGCTCATGTTAGTTAATATTTTCTTGTTATACAAAAAACTATTTCAAAAACTCGTTTCGCGTTGCTTTTTTTTCAAAACGTAAATTCGATAAAGTGTCTCTAGCTGCTTTCTATGACAGTAGATGACCATTGTCAAACACTTTTTTACTTGAAATCTCGAGTTTAGAGCTAGCGGCTCTCGTGGCCTTTTTTTCTTAAAAAAAAATCATCGCCAAAGAAAACGTTTCTTTCTATCGAAATTTGGTTATTTTCATAAAATTTCCCAATTTCAGTGGGAATTTTCCGAGCACATGTCTGTCTAGATACTAACAAAAGAGAAAACAAAAGGGTCACGAAAGTCGCTCGACCGAAGTATCTCTTAAAAAGAAACAAAGAGGGTAAGTGTGGATACGCCTTCTTTTTTACTGACACTTGCACACCCACACCCACACCCGTAATTTGTTCAATTCATCATTGATTTACCTTATTGAAAAAATTAGAATGAATATGAAGGATAAACGATGAACTTCATTTTTCTAGAAAAAGAATGATGACACAAAACATGAGTTGATAAGAAATTCATACAGAGCTATTTTGGTATCTCAGATCAGAATCTAAAGGTTTGATAATTCGTCAATAATTGAGAACGGAGCTTCTCGCGCTATCTTGATTCTTTTAGGCAATCATAAGTCATTAAATTGGTAGTTCCACATATTACTAATACATCAGAAACATGATCGCTTTATGAAATTTACTATCAAATTACAGGCATCACTCTATTCTCACACATGAATTTTCTCTTAATACAAGTTATTTGTGACACATATCCTTCTTTATTGACTACAGACGCAGTAGCCATCGTAATCAATACAAATATTAGATGACATATAACTGTTTACGAGCTCTATCCAATGTATCAGCAGCATTTCATCGATTGTTTCGATCGAGCAAACTCACACTCTCGAACTTTTTATCAATAAAAACAACATTTTCCGCAGTTTACCATTACTCGTCGATATTCTTTCGGACAATGGCCGCATTATTTAAGCATGATAAAATGCAAGATTGAGGGTCACACGATATACTATGAAAAAAATCAAGTAACAAGTTCACACGAATTAGTCGATGTTTGACTATCATACTGGATGAATTAACCCAGCAGACACACACGTATTCTACAGTTAGAATGCATTGTACTTGACCTATATGATAATCAATGGGCAATACTTCTACTTACAGACAAAATTTCCATGTTTCTTACAACTTTATTGCACTAATCATTCTGATACTAGATAGAACCATCATACATGTGATCAGCATCAATTAAGACAAATGGAATGTTTGTCATTTTTATCATCATAATGTGACATTGTTTAGTTGGTTTTTATTGAATAGGGGACGATGCTTGTATATAAGAATCACCCAGGTGCTTTTGATAGATTCTCGTGTTTGATCTTGTTTCATTCGATACTCGTTAAGAATTCTTCATTCCCATCTTCGTTATGTGCACTTTGCGCTGTTCACTTACTAAACTGAACGAGTTAGTCTTTCTATGCAGGTATAGCAATCCATGTATTTATTCGAACAACGAGGAGGAAAATATCATTACTTCATTAATTGTTGCACGTGCATGTAAACTCCACAACGAAGACATGAAACGACTGCACTGAGCACAATGTTATCGTTATTCATATGGTACTCGCACTCATACTGAATCGAGAATGTTCTTATTGATGTATTTATCTTTCTTTATCTATATTTGAATACACGAGTGTCAATTAACCATTCATTTTATACGTGATCACTAGTTGTTGTCTATAGTTGATACACCAATGACTATTGATTTAACCAACATCGTTGTTTCTTTTCTCTCCGTCTGCTTTCATGTAGCGGATACGAAGCGAAAGAACACAAGGACGTGGTCTCCTAAAAAACCACGTGAGCGAGAACGAGAGAAAGAAAAAAATTGGCTGCAAATAAAAAAAAAATATGTGTGTGCAATATTTTCTTCGTCATCAGTCGACAAAAGTGGTGCAACGTTAACAGGTATAAATCCATGGTCGACATCAATCGTCGAAGTCCTGTAACATGCACTTGTGGTAAGACAGTTCAACAACGAAATCTTGCTCAACATTGTTCAAGCAAAAGCCATACTGCATTTGCAGCTAAGCACCTGCCAATTGCCAAGGATGAAAAGGATGATGTAGAAAAGACCGGTTCATCTGACCTTCTCTTTGATCTCACAGCATTTCTACGTGAACATGATCTACGTACCGATCATGGTCGCATTCAAGCCATCGTGGACCGACGTCTGAATATGGATCCGTATACGAAAGTCAAATTAAGTATGGAAAATGGAGAACCAATATTGAATCATTACGATATTGATCACATTCATGAAGCACAAATACTTGCTTGTGCCATTCGTCACACACCTGAACTGGCACCTCGAGTTAGTAATACGCTGGTATTGCAACCATTACGATCTGTTTTGAATGATGTTTCGAATTTGGCCATCACCGAAGCAAAGGTGAACCGATCGAAAGGTCAAGCCGTGAAATATTTCTTGGGACATTTTCAGACATCAACAGAATTACCGCTTCTCTCGGCATTTATTCAAACAGCGGATGGCAAAGAACGTTCAATCGCTCATTTTGCACGAAATATTGTCGATACAATACAAGCGACTAGTAGTGATATGAGTGACTCGATTCGTCAAACACGTATGGAAAATGGGTATGTAACCGGAGCTAATTCGTACGAAACAGTTGCTGAACAATTCGATACAATCATCGATCGAATGCAATTGAATTGGAATGAAGGAGTAAAACTTCGAAATGGTAAAACGTACTATGTAAGCACATGATGCAGAATTTCTTTTTCTATTTTTCATTCATCAAAATGAATAAACCCAGACACGACTATCATCATAAAAGTTCAACTATCTTTCGGTCCGACAGTGCAGAATGAGGGATTTTTGTCTTAATTTTATATTTCTTTTCACCATTGTCCTAATTCAGTAGTAATTCTGATATGTTAGAGCGACAGAATATTTTTACTCCTGATCTCTCTATCATCTATTGAGAAGCACGCAGTTGCTTGTGCATTGGTTTGAAGTCGATCTCACAGTTTGGTGAATATGATAAAACGACAAATGTGTGAGCGTGCTGTTTTTTTTTAATTATCATCATCGGTTATTGCTTGCGTAAGGCTGATTTCTGATTTTCTTTCTTTTTGGCGTTCGAATGTCATTGGAAAAAGTGGGCAAAAACTATCAACAATCCTCTTTTCTGCTGATTCTTGCTGTTGTGATGAAACTTCATATTCTTGTGTCCCTCTCTTTGCTGCTGCATTTTATTTGGCAATATCTGATTAACTTCACAGACATCTCGTCAAAAAGGATGTGTATGCAATTTATCGGTTTTGATTGATCTATATTCGGACATTTTCCATTATATATATGAAAGTCGAAGTGGCACGCTTTCTGGCATTGTTCATGACATCCGAATGAGAAAACAAGAAGAATCTTTAATTTTGTGTTTGGAGGTTGCTATTAGTCTGATTAAGCTTATTTTATGTGGTCGATATGGTAAGAGAAGAACCAAACGAATATTGATACATTCATATTCACACCGACGCTCGGTTTGTTGTTCTTCGAGTTTTGAGAAGGTTTTTGAAAAATCTCGATTGTTTCTATTTCAATGAAGAATAGCTGCTCATTGTTTTTCTTCTATTGAGCAAATTCTGACATTAAATGAATTATCAGTCGATCTAGATGATTTCAGAATTAATTCGAATTCGAAGAATAGCACAATCCGATCTCCACTTAATGATGAACAAAAAGATCTAGAAATTAATTCATTCAAACTTTCACTTTTTGCTATTATTTATAATAATTCTTCCATTTGTTGATTCGATACATGTTTTCGCTTTCTAATTCGTGTTTTTCTACATTGATCTTCTCTACAACGCTAACAATTCTACAACATAATATAATGGAACACATGTGAATGTAGATGTAGTTGAAGACAAGGTGGACAGCCGCACGCCTATAAAAGGTTGATGACCAAAAATGAAACCTAAGTTTTGTATATGTCAATATTCATTTGATTTATTGAAAAAAATATATCCTCACATTCAGATTGATTACTAAATAACAATGAGTTCTTCGAATGTATTGATAACATTAGTTTTCGTACATCTTTGAAATCGGAACAGTTGTTTTGTTTTGTCTATCCAATCGTGTAGAAACTACATTTATCATGTTCCAGGAGTCACTGTCGACAGAATCCAGAGATGTTAGAAAGTCTATTCAACAACAACAAAAAAAAGAAACGTTCAATTTTGTTTTTCTTAAAAACAGTCAATCAAATGGTTATATGACGAATTAGAAAATCAATTATAAAAATTTTGTTATGCCTATATATGGTTGAAATGCCTCTTTGCAAAGTTTGTTGAATCGGAGAGATTGAATTTCGAACTAATTATTTTCGCTTGGTTTTCTTGACGAACGATGAATGTGAATCAAATATTCGTGAACAAGAAATTTAAAACTTCGATTTATGTCAGTTGTTCGATTGTCAATTCTATATTTCATCAATTGATAATACCAATGCTTGAATTTTTTTTATTGTTTAGATAAATGATGAAGTGTGAAAAACATAGAATAAAACTATACTGAAGCATTCAAAATAGAAGAAAAATCTTTTTTAAATATGAATGATAGAAACACAATAAAACGTTGACATAAGAATCAATATGAATTATAGCATGATTTTTGATTTTATGTGAGATACTCTGATTGACTAAAATGGAATAATGATCATCAAATGGTATTTCTAATCGATTGATAGTTTCCGTTTCAAATTTAATCTAGCTATTTTCAAGAGAAGAAATTAAATTAAACAATTTCATTCTAAGCATATTTTGATTATTCGACAAGTATTCTATTTGAAAATAATAATAAAACTATTACCAAAATTATTCTTTTGTATTAGAACGAAAATAAATTTTAGTCTATGTTAAACAGAGCAAGTGACAGTATTTTAAAATAAGAGATTTGATCAGTTTTTGTATTTTTTGTTCAGACGATAAAAGGATTTGTTCTCAAAAATGAATTCTATTTGAAAATATTTTTCAATCAACGAACGCTATGCATTGATATTGATCATTTGTATTGGTATCAAATCGAATTGAGCGACATTTCCTTCGAATAATTCAATTGTATTTCGATCAAATCTCGTCGAATAATCGAACAAGTTGAATTTTATTTTATTTTCTTGTTTGAAATCAAATTGATAGGTTCTTATCATATCCAGAGTTTGTTTTCATAATTTATCTGAAAATAACAATATCAAATATTCACATAAGTCATTCAAACAAGACTTTCTCAGCAACAATATGATGAATGGAATTATTCATAATGAAGAAATTATATGAACTCTCTTCTTGAATGGGTAAATTTCTCATGCGAGTTCTCAATATTTTCATTTCAATATTTCGATTAATTGATCGAAGATTTTCTTGGAAAAAAAAAGTTTTGTATAGATCAATCACTTTTGATCAAAACTACCAATGATTAAAAATGCATTATTTTCAATAAATATCTTTAAACTCTCGTTTATATCGATTTATCAACGAAAGACATTTTTCAATATCTCTCTAAGACTAAATAAATTTGCATAAACAAAATTCATGAATAGTGACTTATTTTGAATCGAAATGTTCGTCGAAAAATTCTTTAGCAAAACTTTTAAGTATTTTATAGTTTTCGTATTGTTATTGATAATCAATGGATATCAAATTCAAAATCTGAATTTAAATATCGATATCACAGAATATGTGATGATGATGTTCGACTTTTCAATCAAATCAATGTGTCATGACAATCTGATCGGAAACAAGTAATACTTCATGAATAAGAAAATCGATCAATTCTGACATAGTTTTTGTCTCACCGAGAAATATGAAAATAATTATTTCCACAAAAATGATCAATTTGTTATGTTGAACTAGTTTTGAGGAAGGATTCATTCAGACAAGAAGTATTTCTTTGAAAAATGAATTTCGATGAAATATTCTTCTGCTAAGAGATTTTCGATCATTTGACTATTGGAAAAACTTATTTGATCAAAAATATAGTTGTTCTTGTACAGGTCTTATTCATATTAACATAAAATCTAAACTTCTCCATTACATATACTTGATTTCTATTGCAATGTTTTATTTAAGTTTTGTTCGTTCTGAAGAACATCGTAAAACTTCAGGAAGATTGCTTCATAATTTTCAATCTAATCTCTGTAGAAACGCAACTCTTTCGAACATCTCATTGCATAGAACACTGTCTATGTTTCTAAAGAATGTATTCAATATTTAAAACTTTTTGACAAGTGGTATTTCGTTTCAACTTTCGAAATCTATTCATTGAAATCGCTCTAAAGGAGTATTACGAGTGCGCTGCCATCGTTTTCATAGTCAAAGCGTTTTCTTTTTTGTCTTTTGAAAAATGTAAATCGGACTTCTTTTCAAAAATACAAAATTATTTTTCTCTACAAAATTTTCATGGCTCTTAACATTTATTGATTCAGCATCACTTCACCTGAAAATTGAGTGTGTTGTTTTATGTAGGAGATGGTAAAAACCCACAACTGACAATCAACTAAATGCGTCATTCTTCATTTGCTTACCGAATTTTTTTGTTGTGCAAATGGAAGCCGCTATTCAAATGTCTCTTGTGAAAAAAACATCGACCTTCCACCGAAAAAAAAAACAAAGAGAAGGCATGTACATCAAATCGAATTGTTTTTTCGTTCTGCCTCTGAATGATGCATGAAAAATAAAAAGACATCGTATGTCCATATCAAAGTGAAAGAAGAAAGTACACATTATCCAACTCGAAGTTCATTAATGAATAAAATATTTATAAATGGTTGTGTATGTCACACTCAAAATGTTGAACAAGTTCTCTAAGAATCACAATTAAATGCTGTGATGAACGTCTCAAAACAGAAGGGATGTTTAATAATCAATCTAATTTAATTCCACTTTATTTTCCTAGCCTAGTTCCTGACCATACACCGATATCAGATACTCCATTGACGTTTCAGCTTTCACAGGACGAAAGCATCACCACATTGACACGCCTTCGTTTCACGTTCTTATACTGTATTGATTAGTGCATGGGAATTTGTTCTGTCGTATTGGATGAGTGAGAGTGTAGCATATGATTGGATGATGACGTTAGTGGATGGATGTGTGTGCAGGGAATACCATACAGACATCTTAAAAGGCATTACACTTAAGATACGACCACTTCTAGTAGAGTCTTACTAAATCGGTCTCCTCGTTTTAGCTAATATTTGTAGGATGGATAAGTCAACTTCCGATAGGAACAAACCTCGAGTTTCATCTCAAGCTCAGGAACCATTCCAGAGATATCGACATCGCAAGTGCAGCTGTTTGGACTCATTTTGAGCATTTTTGAAAGCGTCATCTTTCAGCAAAATGCAACTTTCTCTTGTACGATAGGAATTATAGGACTGAATTTTTTATTATAAGTATTGTCGATCCTGTGCTAACTCTTCATGATATTAGAATTGTGTCATTAGGTGATGATTTCTCTTAGTGCCATATACTGCTTCCCGAATCGATGACCAAGTTGCTAAGTTAGGAAGATAGGTTTGTTATAATTGGATATTTCGAAACGACTAGAGGGAAATGCTAACTTTGCCATAATAGTTGAACGTAGTTGTTTTATCAAAAAATCTGATCACTTTAATTACTTAGTTAACTCTACTATGTACTTCATATAAAGTTCCACACTCGAATAATACGACAGGTAAATGGCTGTGTTCGAGTAAATTACGATAATTTTTGGTTTGACAATGGTGACCGTATGTGACAGATCGTATTACTGTTCGATTAAGCTACTATATAAACGTCCCATATTCCACAGCTATCAGTAAATATAAATTGTTTTTCAGACTGATTTATTCTTTGATAGGTGAGATGAGTGTAATATATGAGAACAGTGATAGTATACGAACTCGATATTTGTCGATCTGGATATTTGAGTGCACCACGACTTCTGTATGACTATGGATGAAATATTTGTATAGGAGAAAAACATAACTCGTCAGTTAGTCACAATGGTAGCGTTAAAAAATAGACTATTTTTCTTCTCATGAAATTTGTTTCATACAGAATACTCTAGCGCATAATCTACTTTCGTTCAAAGCAAATTTTGTTTTTTATAAATAGAGTCCGAGAAAAACTTTGTTTTATACTAGAATAATTCTTATCGAAAACTAAATATAATAAGAGTTATTCTCAGTTAAAGTATTAAATACTTCAATAATCTCGACTGATTCAATCCACATCTCATAATTGACATATTTTTTTGTTTGTTGAAACGAAGAAATAGTATGAAGAAGTCTAAAATGATTTGCCATTTTTAATTCAACGCAAATGCAAAACTACACAAAATGCAAAATTTGAAAATCGAACTCATTAGTCAAATGAAATTTTACTGGATATCACATTTTATTCGCAATTTCACAAGAACAACATTATTTCATAAGAAAGCCATATTAATGTTTCTATTTGAAACCAAAACATTAACAATAGATAATTAAGATGATATGGGTGATTTACAATATCTTTATACACCTTTTAGTTCAAGATATATATATTGACAAAAACTATATAATTTTCTTGTAACAACAAACTGGAAGTGTAGTTTATCGTAACGTTCAGTAATCATACTAATTAAGCTATTTTATATCACAAGAATACGTTCATGTTACATACCCGCAAGTTTACATATATTAATATATAGACGAGAGATGAGTACCGGAAAGAATAATAGAGAGAAACCAGGAAGAAAAGAACGAGAGTGTAATATGATTACTGTTACAATTTTTCCTAGACAATGATCCAAAAGATTCGAATATTCTCTCAAAAGAAATATCTTTTCTCCTTTATTATAAATCCAAAATCGTTCATAGTTTGCCATCTAATCTCTTTCAATTCGATGAACATTAACTTAAATTTTCATACTTCTAGCCCTATCAATAAAAAAGATATATGATTAATTGATTTTTATATTCTCTTAGCACTCGAATTGTTTCTATTGATAGGATTGACTTATTTATTAACTCGACATTGTAATCATCATGGTATTGAATAAATCAATTCTGAGTACAGTTGTAAATCATATAAACTCTTAAAATTCTTTCTTTAATCATTTTTTATTTCGATAAGAAAGTATCTAAATGAAAACCATAAAATAGGAAAATATTGATACAAGTCTATCAAAAATGAATAATAAAGCATGACCAAAAATTTGTATACAATGAATAAAAATTGCATACAATTTTATCAATATACTATAGAAATCTAATTAATCTTCGAACATAAATCTTTCAGTATATTTCTATTTGTACACTTTCGTTTGTAGGATATGAGATATAAAATCTTCTATATACAGTGCAGCTCAATAGAATTTACCCTCTTTGTATTCTTCCTTTTTCTCAACCATAGTTTGGTCTTTTCTTTCAAAGTCACCTACCAAAAGAAAGAGCAGAATCTGCTGCATCTTTTGATATATGAAGCTTATGGATGAAATCGAAAGAGAGCAGAGAAAATCGCATCGAGAAAAAAAAGTAGATTTTTTTTCACTACAACGTTGTGCATAACCTTTTGCTAGATGGAGGTAATAGAGTCATACTTTTCTAGTTACTCAAACTTATAGAACTTTCTTCGCTGATCATCTTGGCTGAATTTATTTCGAGTTTCACTTACAAAATGACAATGCTCCGATAACAATATTCATGATTTCGAGGTGCTGTGGATGATGGAACTAAGCAATTCATTAGTATTGCCACCCAAATGCCATAATTATTTTAGAAAAACTCGAAATAAATTCAGTCGAAATGATCAGCGAGGAAAGGTCTACAAGTATGAGTAGCTAGAAAAGTCCGACCCCTTCATCCTTAAATAATTGCAAAATTGCAGCAAAAAATACACGAAGTTCGAGATTTTCTAGGATTTATCACCTCTTTTCCATATTTTAAGTGTAACTAAATGGAACCATAAATTCTATTTTTCACGAGTTTTCATTTGGTATAAAATTCATCGGGTATTCAACTCGAAAACATGGTCCTACCTTCCCCTAGCAAAATGTTATGCACAACGTTGTAGTGAAAAAAATCTACTTTTTTTTCTCGATGCGATTTTCTCTGCTCTCTTTCGATTTCATCCATAAGCTTCATATACCAAAAGACGCAGCAGATTCTGCTCTTTCTTTTGGTAGGTGACTTCGAAAGAAAAGACCAAACTATGGTTGAGAAAAAGGAAGAATACAAAGGGGGTAAATTCTATTGAGCTGCACTGTAATATGAATTATTTGCAAGAAATTAGACGGTAAATTTAGAATTCTTTTGAATTTATAATCGAGAAGCCAAGATATTTGGTCAGTGTTTTATTCAGCATGGGAGCTGAAGGGGCGACGTCTCTTCGAAAGAGAATATCTGAATAAAATACTACATTTACTCTTAGAGAGTTCAAAACTTTCGGGTCAATCTGCATCTACCGCAAATAAAAACTATCCTTTAGTAAATAAAAGAATACTTACAGTGAAATTCTTGTATTAACTTACCGTCAATTAGTAATTCAAATGAATAAATTCGATCGACTCTTTGTCTTGTTTTCAGAATTATTAGTTTCTATGGGTAGTATGCTGCCAGATAAGGGAAGTCATGTAACTGATTAATTGCTTTTTAGTTTGGATATGTTGCTATTGAAAAATCCGCTATGTCAGTAGCAATAAGCCAATAATACGAATTCTTTTCAGAGTACTTATAAATCATCAGAGTCTACATGATACACATTATTCCGACTCAAAAGTGATAAATCAGTTGGGAGACTTCTCTCATTCAAGGACAAATTAATTCATTTTTTTTTTGTTATTAATGTCCATTCAGTTATTACATTAAGAATAAACTAGAATGCAGATAAGAAATAGATTTCATTTATCGCTTTATTTAATTAGAAAGACAAGATTATATTGATTAGAAAAAATGGAAATCATGAGAAAGAATTAGTGGAAAATAGAAAAAAAAAATTTATTCTTTCGTAGCATCTATTCTATAAATAAATAATCAATATTTGAATAATAACTATTATTTGATGTAATAATCTTTCTAATGAAATCAAATCGTATGAAAATACTCATATGTTAAATTTATTGTGTTTATTTTTACTCCTCATCTATTATATACTTTTTCTAATATAAATTTAATCATGTTAACTTTTCGATTTCTTTTTATTTATTGTTTTACGACAAAATATTCCATTGAAAACACTAAAATTTTATTTGATTTTAATTGTAAGTTAAATCGATATATGTAAATTTTTATCAAATCAAATTAATTTATTATTTTGTTGTCGATAACGTTCTTGATCGGAATATTTTTGATTAAAAGAATTAATATTAGTTGGTCTATTATGGATGAAATTTCGAGTGATAAATAAGAGAATATCATAATTGGATACAGAAGCAAGACGTGGATCTAAACGCATTCTTCTATAAAGATCATAAAGTTGTTCATAATTTATTGTTGATTTATTGTTGTCTGAATTATTTTTTGATTCAGACAAAGGTTTTGCTTGAACAACAATGATGAAGAATAAAAAGAAACCAAGAAGACCAAAGTTAAACAAGGAAACCATGATGAATAATATTGGATTGATTGAGTTGGATGAATTTAAATAAAACCAGTACAATTACTAAAACAAAAAACAAATAATATCTTATGAGTAAAACATATTGCTTTACAAATTGCGAAAATCTTGTATTTCATACCCGAATAATTACATAGATTTAGTCTATATATGTTTATGTCATAGTAATAAAGAATAGAAGATACAATATTTTCTAAGAAAACTCGAAATCCGCCGCTGTATGTCTATATTTGATAGAATTCAATAGAAAAAAGAAATCTTCAGATTCATTTACACGACATAAATTGTTCATCAATCCCATAATCGCTTCTTTTTCTAACTCTTTTCAATATTATTATCGATTTCTTCAATTAATAGATAATATGTAAAAAAAAAAAACGACAATAAAAATCGAGTATTTTCTCTTCAAAAATTAGCAAACCTTACAAATGATGTTTTCTTAATATTTATCAAATAAAAATAAAGCTAAGATATTTTAAATTTTTATACATATATATATATATATATAACTTAAACTCAACTAATCGCATATAAATCGCTCGTTTTCCATTTTCTTCTTTTATTCTTCTCTCATTTTCTCGCCAGGGATTATACGTTTATATAGAAGAAAAAAGATCCTTCCCATGAGCTTAGTTCATATAAATATTTTCTCAATAATCAAATTGAAGATATGAATAATAAAATTATAAAAATGCTTGAGATAGTGTGTATTTTTTTTTTCTCTATCACCGATAATATTCAAAGATTTATCTTGACAGAATAATGATAATCATCGAAGAAAGGCAAGAAGAAAAAAAAGTTGAAATGACAAGTTTTGCTTTGACTTTTCTTCTTTTTGTTTTTTTTTTTTTTTACCTTCTTGACATCCAATAGGTTTTCAAGGCCTTGATAATAGAGCAATGATAAAATCTTCTTCATTGACACTTCATTCTAAAATTTGTTGACATCAAATAGTTAATGTTCTTCAAATAATTAAAAGAAACAGCAGCTTATTAGAGTGAATAGGAAACACTAATAACTATAATCAGTTTGATTTGCACCATTAAAAGTACTTTACTTGTCAAAGAAATCTACGGAAAATTGTATTTCTTCTCAATCTTTCTCACATATCTATATTTGTTAAAGAAATAACATATTCACTAGAAAGTATTATTGCTATTCAAAATAGCTGTAATATAGTACTGCTCATATAGTCGATAAAATTAGTTTTATAATATTACGAAATTAAATTAGTCTTTTTCTACAACTTATAATTTTAATTATCTGAAAATATATTATGAAACTCGATGGGTAATTTTTATAATGTACCTTTTTTTTTTAATATTGTTGGAGGATTCGTACAATTAAAAGGTTTTAATAAATGAAGATAGAGATCTTATTCTGTCATTTAACACAACTTAGCTAAGATTTATTCAAATTGATAATAATACCCAATTAAGTATCATATTTTATCTTAATGTTCTTAATAATCTCTAACAATACTAAAAAAAAAAAAAAAGAATAAGATCAATTTTCAACAATGAGTTGATCCAAAGTTTATTTCTCATTTCTAAAATCTTAGAATAACGAATAAAAATTGTTTTTTTTTCTTTTTGTTTATACATGAATTGCAAAATTCATAAAATAAAAAATATGAGTGTTTATTCATTGCACTTCAATCTTGATATATATGTTGTCTATTATGAAACAAAACCTAAAATTATTCGTCCGAATAAATATATTCAAACAACATATTCTTTTGTTACATTCAAAATTTTAAAATAATTTTTAGATTCGACTTTTTTTTGCTTCTCAATTTTCAATATTTCAATAAACTTTTAGTTTAATATTATATTCGAATTTTCTTTATTTTTATCTTGTCATATATATACACAAAAAAACAAAATAACTAAGATAATAATATAGTCCTTGACAATGTGTATAAATATACCTTTTTTTTTTTTTTAATAAATAAAAACAACGAACACTTTCTACTACATCATCAATCTGAAAGGCAACTGCTATACAAACATACCATAGTATTCGATTGTTACAAACGCATATGTCGTTTTTTTTTCTTTTTGTTTCTTAAGCACTTCGACTGTAGACTATGTTATTGAATAGACAGGCATACAAGGTAATTGCGTGCATGTAGACCTAAAGGTATATTATAGAAATATAAGAATGAATTTATTAATTTTTCGAAGACCAAGCTTTACTATAGGATTTAATTTCTTTATTATTGAGATTAAGATAACAATGTTGAGTAATATTGTATGAAATGAAAATCGTTTCAATTCATATATGTCTTATGTACATGACATGAGAATAACAATTATATTTTGTTCTCTTTTCATTTTATTATTTGAAACTAATGCATAGATTAAATATTCAAGTAGATTAATGCAATAAATTCTAACCGATAAATGATATTCGAGAGTTTGAACATGAATTGTATATTGTCGGCTTCTTTTATTTCATTATTCAATTGCAATATGAGATTGATGTTTTAAAATTCAGATTTTCTTTTTCGTTTTTTTCTTTTGAATATAAAGATTTATAAGTCGATAAAATTTTTCATAAACAAGTAATATTATTTAAATAAAATTTTTATCTTTTATGTCAACATTTACTAATTCTAAAGATTTAATACAAATACATAAATCATATATTAGTTTATTCTCGATTTCATCGATTCTTCTTTGTCGAGAGAGAGAGAAAAAAAAACATATATTTTGTTATTGTATATATACGACGTATGTGTATTCTGCACTATAACAACTGTTATCTCATAAGTAAGAAGGATATATTGTAATGGACTATTGTTCATCAGTAATAGTAATATGCAATATTGATTTATTTTTCTTTTCTTTCTTTTTCTTATAGAGGTTTTTTTTTCTTCTTTGTCTTGTTCTTTTCACTATCGGCACTCTGCTACTCAAATTACTTTTCTCCTTCTCTCTCTTTCTCTCTCTCTCGAAAACATTTATTCACTATCAATAACCACAAATACTATTCTATAGTGGAATTCAACTTGAGTTGACGCCGACTGACACACAATAGAACGAACGAAACAATTATTAGCAAAAATTAAACTATACCAAAAGTTTAGTTGGTTCTTTATCTATTATTGGTTTGCATTCGTATTAAAAGAATTTTAATATATTCATTTTTACGAATAATAATAATGATAACAACGAAATAATTATTATACAACGATGGGTATTGCTACTTGTTATCCTTGTGCTAAATATCTTTTATTGGTTTTGAATCTTTTTTTTTGGGTAAGTAATAAAAATTATATATGATTAATGTTAACACTAAAATAACAGAAGGATAAATATAAGATGAATATTTCGAGAATGATAGTAACTAGTGATATGTGATTTTCAATAATCAAAAGAAGAAAGATCGGGACGTCTTTTTGCGCCAATCATATTAAAGATAAAATCATGTTAAAACTAATTATCATCGTAAAATATTAAAAAAAAAGAAATGGTCAATCGATTCAATAAAATTTTGATAAAAAGAAATCAGTACACTACTTTATTATTCAATTGACCAGATACACAATTCTATTTGTTCAACATTATAATATGAGAAGATAATCATTCAATATCTGCTCTTTCGATTGCTAACAATCGCATATTATTAGATACTATCATTCGTAAAATAGTTGTCTTATTTTTATTCTCATATCAATATTAAATATTAAAAATCAAAGAAAAATATTTATCAATTTTCTTCTATTTAGTTAACTGGTCTTGCATTAATTGCCCTTGGTATTTATTTTCTATTACGTCCTGAAATTCAAAATATAATTCATTTATTTAATTTTACTATTTTACCATTATCATCTATTGAAATATTAGGTTGTCTTCTTATTCTTTTTGGTGTTATTATATTTCTTATTGGACTTTTTGGATATTGTGGTGCACAACAAGAATCTCGTACTTGTCTTATACTTGTAAGTTTTACAAATATTCTATTAAAATCTGATCGCAAAAATAAAATAAAATAAACATTATTCTAGTATATTGTTTTGGTAACATGTGTTCTTCTTGCTGAATTAGCTCTATTCCTATTTATTGCAATGTATCATGAACAAGGACAAGTACTTGTAAAACAACATCTCATATCACAAGTGAAAAAATATAATCATATATATCCAGGCCAATATGAAAAAGCAATAGACTATATTCAAAGCAAGGTAATATAAGAAGAACGAATTAATTAAACGAGTGATGTAAACAATTGATGTACTTTGATTTTAAAGTTCATCATGTTAAGATTGTAATATCTATATATTATTTAGACTTATAGAATCAAAGGGTAATTATTATCGATAACTTCTGTCATCTTTGTCTACAATAGTATAATGAAGCAAAGTTTCATTTATCTTTTTGCTCTTTTCATAATATAATCGACAAGGCAAATCAATTACTAGAAGTCATGATGCAATATATCTTTCTTTTTCTCCTTCTTTCTGTATAGACCTTGAGTATTCATCATTATAGAACTATAAAGAAAAATAGTCAGTCAGAAATTTTATCCAGGAACATAATGGACTAATGTCTTGTTTATTTCTAGTATCATTGCTGTGGTATCAATTCAGCTCATGATTACACTGATTCACATATACCATTATCATGCTGTTCTATGACATCTTCATCAATTTGTACTGTTCATCAAGTTAGTTTAGCTGGTACACCGGGATGTTATTCTTTATTAACACAAACAACATTTTTCTGGACAAAATTTATTATTCTAATTGAACTTAGTTTATGTATTCTATCAGTAAGAAATAATGATATTTGATTTATTTTTAATATATTATTATATTTAGTTAATTGGTGTTTTTCTTGCTATTTGTGTTTGTCAACATACAATGCTCTATGATGGATATGCACAAGCACGATATTATGTTTAATATTCAAAACAAAAATGTTGTTATTGTTTTTTTCTTTTTTTTAATAGTTAATAATGAAAATAATTCAAGTAGATTTTTA